GGTGCTTTATTTAAAAAGCTTTTATAAACTGTGCAAAGTATTATCTGTTGTGCAGCGTAAGTCTGTTAATTATTGCATTATATAAAACGCGGCGTCAGTTCCGTGTTGTTGTTATTGCCTGTTTTGATTATTTTGCTTTGGTGCTCCCCTGTGCATACACTTGTTTGTGCGTGATTTCGCTGCATACTATCTGCTTGTGCATCGCGCTCTCGCAAATTTTTTCTATTGCTTTTCGCTCCAAACAATTTGTTTGTGTACGAATAAGTGGTTTTTGAGTGTTTACATGGTCTATCTTGTGCACCGTTTTCGTTTTGCTCTGCGCTCTCGCAACTTGCATACTCATTTAATAATTATGTCGTGCTGTAAGAAACCGTGCACGTTCAAGCAGGCTGATGATTCTGCACTGCCGCAATTTGTTAATTGCTGGCTGTGTGAGAATATGATTCATGCTAAATGTGCAGGTCTCACTGGGCGTGATTGCGAAAAGATCGCTGCTATTGCCAAGAAAGGCTGCGGTGGCTTGCGTTGGTCGTGCCCAGAATGCATCGACAAGCAAATTGATTTCTCCAGAATATATAATTCTGTGAGAAATCAATTCTTAAAATTAAATAATGTGGCTAAACAGCTCTCGAATAATTTTGACTCGAGTTTCGAGTTGCTTGGCAAATATAAATTTGAGTCCCCAACCAATCGCCGGTTGGAGCCTCAACTTTTGCAATTGCCCCCTACGTCTGTTCAGACACCTACAACTTTCTTGTCCCTTCCTAGCAACTTGGATATATCTCCAATGTTGTCTTTATCGCCTTCTCCGAGCGACTGTCCAATTACCCCTGTTTCAACCCCTGTACTGTCTTAGCCCCGTCAGCTCCTGGCCGCAAAGGTAGACCTGCGCGCAATCTTGCCCAGATTGTTAAAAACAATCACTGTGCCTCGTTAGCTCCAACTCCTGTATTACCTACAGCCCCATTAGCGCCTTCTTTAACTGTAGTTGCCCCTCGTAGGCAAGTTTTTGTGTCTCGACTTTGGTCGGACACCACTTCTGAGTCATTCGCAGCCTATATTGCTAGCAAATCTTTTGCTAGCGTGTCAATAAACAAATTTAATTTCTCCACCCCTCGTGAAATATCATCATTCAAAATAAATGTTTCACATGATATATTCCCAATCATTTCTGATCCCAAATTTTGGCCTCCACACATGATTGTTCACGAGTTCAAGCCTAAAGAGCGTAACCAGCCTGTCACTTTTCCAGTCCCTTCAATACAGGGTACCATTTCTGCCTCAAAAAACTAGCTTCATCTTCTGACCAAATCTTTATTCATTATCAGAATGTCAGAGGTCTCATTTCAAAGCTTAAAAATCTTTTCATGACCAGCACATCCTTCGATTCGGATATAATAGCATTTTCAGAAACATGGTTAAACTCAACCATATCTGATTTTGAGGTTTTATCGAATAACTTTATTTTGTTTAGAAATGATCGGCCGACTCGAGGTGGTGGGGTGTTAATTGGGCTATTCTATTTTAGTATGCCTACTGAAGCTGAGATTGTCTCAGTTAAGGTGTCTTTTCCTACACGGAATATCTATTTAACATTCTCTTATGTCCCACCTTCTTCTGATATTCAAGTTTATATGAATCATATTACTCGTATTAAAGAAGTTTCTTCACACGTGCGTGATAATGACCTATTAATGCTGTTAAGTGATTTTAATTAACCGAACATCTCTTGGTCATTATTCACTGCTGAAAATTATCTAGTGCCCTCAGCACAGCACGATTTTATAGACTGCATGCTTGATCTTTCGTTTTTTCAAATCAATTCCATTTCTAATCATATGAATAGAACACTTGACCTTGTATTTGTTAAATACTACCTTATTTCTAATGTGTCTAGGTTCCCTTCTTCTCTTCCTGAGGATGTCTATCATCCAACTTTAGAGATTGCAATGCTAAATTGTAATCCTTTCATTTCGTGCTCATCAGCCAATAAGTTGATGTTGATTTCGCAAAGGAAATTATTCTTTGCTGAATCAGCTTATTTATTCAACCGATTGGTCTTTCTTATATGACTCAGTTGATATGAATACAAACATTAGTTTTTTGTATATCACCCTAAACTCCCTCTTAGATGTGTGTATTCCTAAGTCAATTCCTTCGACTACTTTTTCAAAACCACCCTGGTTTACTCCCAGATTATCACATCTAAAAAATGTAAAATCCAAATATTTTAAAAAGTTTAAAAAGTCTGGTTCGTGTACAGACTTGGCTAAAAATTAAATAGCCAAGTCGAACTTCTTTCCTCTTAATTCTCAATGCTATGAGAATTATCTAGCTCCTTCTAAAAGGCAATTTGCCCGAAATCCGAGACAGTTTTATAATTTTGTAAATTTGAAGCGTAAATCTTCAAGTTTGCCATCTTCTTTTTCTCTTGGGATGGATAAAGCTAGCAATGAAACTGATTCTGCTAACCTCTTTGCTAATTTTTTTCAATCAACTTACTCTTCAGTCTGTCCTAATACTAATTCTTACCCTTATACTATTTCTTCCGCTAGTTCTATACCTCCCCCCATTATTTCACAATCCTCTCTCCTATCAGCCGTAAACTCTTTAAAATCTTCTTACTCTCCTGGGCCGGACAATATTTCTAGTTGTCTACTCAAGGAGTGTAGTTCTTCCCTTTTTTATCCATTGCTAAAGCTTTTTAATCTATCCCTTGAAACTTCTGTCTTTCCATCTCTTTGGAAAGAATCTTATATCATTCCTCTTCACAAGAAAGGTAGGAAGTCTGATATACAAAATTACAGGGGCTTTGCAAATCTGTCCGCTTTTCCTAAATTATTAGAAAAAATAATCACTTCGAATTTGCAGCATTTCTGCAAATCAGTTGTTTCCCCTGTTCAACATGGACTCGTAAAGAATCGGTCAACGACGACCAATCTGCTTGAGTTTACTTCCTTGGTAAATGATGCTTTCCTTTCGAAAATGCAAACTCATGTCATTTACACTGACTTCAGTAAGGCGTTTGACTCTATGCACCATGACATTTTACTTTTTAAACTTGACCGAATAGGTTGTCCTCCGTCTCTTTTGCTTTGGATCAATTCTTATTTAAAGGGTAGGACCCAAAGCGTAATACTGAGGCTGACTACCTCTAAACTGGTTCACGTTACTTCTGGTGTTCCTCAAGGAAGTCATCTTGGACATTTACTCTTTACTCTTTTTATAAATGATCTTCCCTCTGTTATATCACATGCCCGTGTACTCATGTATGCGGACGATGTCAACCTTTTCTATCATACACTAATCCCCTACATCATTCTCGTCTACAAGACAATTTGAACGCTGTGAAACTTTGGTGTTCGGCCAATCAATTGCATCTAAATTGTTCAAGGTGTATGTTTATGACATTTAATCGTACTACACCTTATTTTGTCAGTTATACAATCGACAATATCCCTTTGCAACGTATACTATCAGTTAATGATCTAGGCGTTATTTTTGATTCTAAACTCTGTTTCAATCTTCACATAGATACCATTGATAATGAGGCAAAAGGTGTACTTGGATTCATTAAACGATGGTCTAAAGAGTTTAACGATCCTTTTATAACAAAACTTCTGTACATCTCTCTTGTTCGCCCTATCCTTGAATACTGCTCTTGCATCTGGTCTCCACAGTATAACAACAGCCAGGATCATATTGAATCTGTTCAGAAGCAATTTCTGCTTTTTGCCTTACGAAGTTTAATTTGGGACACTATTCAATTCTCTGTTCCGGCTGTACCAACCATAAATTATCGCCCCTTATTCCTATCTACGTGCACAACAGACTACGCTATGCACAATCCTTTTCGCGTGCTATGTAAAAATTATAATAGTTTGAATCACGTTTTCTCTACCGAACTGTCTCTACCCCTGATAAAATCGTTGCTTTCAGGATACCTTCGGGAAGTCGCTGACCATTCCCAGCTATGAGCAGGGGCATAGCTTGCCGGACAGGCTGAAAAATTTTCCCCACCGGGTCGGTGATTTCCCATAACCTTTCTCTTTGTCCTATCTACCTAACACTCTTTATCTAACTTACATTGCTTTACTTTATTAACAATCTTCTTACTTTCTTTTTTTCTATTTATTGTATTTTCTTTATTAATATAGCAAATTAAGATTATTTTTAATTTTACTTGAGATCACTTTTTTCCCACTTACAACCTTCTGCTTAGATGTAGGCTCTAATAGCGTCACTGACAATATTAGCTGTGAAAAGGGGAACAGCTGGCCGGACTGGCAAATAAAACACCTCCACCGGTCGGTGATGCTGTTTAGAAAATTGTATCCTTAAACTAGGCTTTTGGCATATAATTCTATTGTACAATCTTTTGAATACAGAAGAAGACACTCGTTTTGTCGACCATTAATAAATAAATAAATAAATAAACAATACAAATGCAATTATAATGCTGTTGATAAATACGAAGCAGGCGCGTATAAATGTGTGTGTACATGCATACAGATATTCTTCGAATTTGCGCTGGTGCCGCAAACAAGTGTTTCTTTACTGATCTTCCTGAAAATTTCTGCAGTATATCTTAATATGCCATAGCTTATTTGAGTATTCTCAAAAGGTAAATTGCATTAAAATTGAAGCTTTAATTGTTGAGCAATGAAAGTTGGGTTATTTACTTGATATATAGTTATCAGGTAGTAGCGGGAAGATGGCGATAGGTATATAATGAATGATATTTAATATAAATACACTATTATATTGTAAACATGCCAATTTTGGTGGATCTAAAATCCCAAATTGCTGAAAAACAGGACTTCGATATCGATTTGCGTCGATTGCTGTTTAAACTTGGTCGTGAGAGTGTAGCAGCCCCCGTCCTCATCTATTGCCGCCCAACCGATCGCGCTGGCAAAACGCAACAGTAAAGTGAATGTGATAAGTGAACTCTGGATCAAGTGAAAAAAACAAAAAAAGTGAACCTGGTTGTCGCGCTTACCAACAACAAAAACCGCAAACATTAATCTACACATACTACAACAGATTCTAATGGCGCCCGCCGCCGTTGCCGCCTCATCGGGTTCCTCACCCACTACAACCAATTCGTTGCAGGACATGAGCGCAGCCGCCGCGGCCATAGCCCTGGATATGAAGTCCAATGTCGAATTGGCCATGGTGCCCGCTCAAAAGATCGAAAAGTTGGTGAGTCGCAACGCCTCCGACAAGCTGAAGCTCATCCAGATGGTGCACGATACTCCCATTTTTTGGGACTCCCGTCTGCCCACCTTCAAGGGCGCCGAGGAGGAAGTTTAATGCGCCCGGACGCCGCGTGGCCCGCGCCTTCAAATCGCTGCGCGAATCTTATCGCCGCGAATTGGCTCATGTCAAATTGATGGGCAATGGATTTAAGCCAAAATGGAGCCTGTACGAGGCCTTGGATTTCTTAAGAGATGTCATCAGGGAAAGAAAGGGCGCCTCACATGCCAGCGATCTCAGCCTGAGCGCCTTTGCCCAGCACTTGCACAACAATAATAACAACAGCAGCAACAACAACAATCACAGCATGCTGAGCGGGAGCAAAGCGGCAGCAGCATGCGGCGCTGGGCAGGCAAACCAGCCGAGCTATGACGACATGGACGCCAACTCGTTGCGCAGCGGCGACGAGGATGGCGGCAATGCCTCCGACGAGGTGGAGGAGCTGGAGGCCATCGACGCGGACTTTCCCTATCCCATCATACTCGACTCCAATTCGCCGCACAGCATCAGCGGCGGCCCCGAGATCGGGCAGACGGCAATACCGCGCAAGCGTCGCCGCAACGGCGAAACGGATGAGCTGGAGGATGCGGATCTGGATGGTGACGACTATGAGGATCAAATGCTGCAGCAGCATCGTCAACTCAGGCAGCAACAGAGCGTCGCAGCTGTGGCTGGCGGTCTGGAGCTGCCGCCACCGCAAACGGTGAGCGAGGTGCTCAATTCCAAATTCTGTGGCTTCATATCGGCCAAGCTGAACAGCATGGAGGATTCGGAGGCGGACAATCTAATGAATCGCATACTCCACTTGGTTGTTCAGATGCAGCAATGTGAGGCGGCCACATAGGCGCTGGGTGGGGTCTCCGGGTTTGGGTTGGGTTCCGGGTTTCTGGGTTAACTCTAGTTTTTAAGTCGTAGCAGATAACAGAAGTAAGGCTCATTATGGATTAATGCAGCTGCTCAAAGCAAAATGTTTTCTTGCCAATAATTTACCACAATTATTCAATTGTTTTTTCTCTCTCTCTTTCTCTCTCAATTTGCCATAAAACGAACAATTTTCAATGCCAAATTTGTGCCATACCAAAAAAAGGAACAATACCTAGTTATACCAAATGTAGCAGCCCCTATGGAAAACTTCTTTAAAGCTATGCCCAAAAAAAAGCAAAAGCACAAAGAAAAAAAACAAATACAAATATATACAAATATGAACTCTATGGAAAGACACAACAACAAAGACAAAGAAAGTTAGCAATGTATGAGATTTAGTTTATTATAAACCTTAATATAGTTCTAAGTCTATCTATACACACACATACACTTACACACACACACACACACATGCATACATACACAAATGTATCTAAACAAAGTGTTCCAGTTTTTCGCTGCAGCCTGAATCTACCTATGAATCTTTTTGCCCTTGAATATACACATATATGGAAAAAGAACTTGCAACATTTATGTCTTAAATTCATATTTTTTGAAATAATTATTTATTTTCCTAATGCTGCCAAATTTAAAGAATTTACTAACTAATGCTGGAACATGTCATATAGATATTTAAAGCTTATCTTAGCCAACGTCTCATCACACGAACAACTGAAACTCGTAATTTACGTTAATTTACGTTAATTTTAAATAGTTCTTAATTCAAGTTCATTTCGAACCGAAAACATTTGAAATCTTGCCAATGCGTAGAGAATTGCAGCATTGTGATCTTTTAAGTTCAATCTAAAGTGGCAAATACATATTAAATACATTAGCATTTTATATAAATATATTATTAAATCTATTTAGTTTCTTTCGTAAAAATTTTTTGAACCGGTTGCAAAGCGTTGTAAATACATATTAATATATTTATATAAATATATATATACATATATATAAAAGAAAAGTTAAATAAAATACGTACAATAAAATACGATTGCTTGGAAACTGAGGAAATTATCGATTATCGGATAGAAATTCGTTCTGTGCATATACTAATCGGACCTACTGCTAAAATTTCACGTCTGTAGCTATTATAATTACTAAGATCTTGCGTGCATATATACGGACGGACGCACAGACAGACGGACATGGCTAGATTAACTTGGCTATTGATACTGATCAAAAATATATGTACTTTGTGAGGTCGGAAAAGCATCCCTCTACCTGTTACTTACATTTACATTTTGCACAAATACAATATACCCTTTCATCCATTTTCAATGGGTTCAGGGTATAAAAAAAATTAAACTCCTTTGGCTGGGTTCGAGTTCGCAACTAACCGTACCACTTGCCACCGCCTCCACTCAACAACCACACTATTAATCAATTATTAGTGCGAAAACCAATTAACATAACTCAGAACAATACAATCGCAATTATAATGCTGTTGATAAATACGAAGCAGGCGCGCATAAATGTGTGTGTACGTGCATACAGATATTCTTCGAATTTGCACTGGTGCCAATAACACGTGTTTCTTAACCGATCTTCCTGAAAATGTCTACAGTATATCTTTATATGCCATAGCATATTTGTGTATTCTCAAAAAGTGAATTTCATTAAAATTGTAGCTTTAGTTGTTGAGCAATGAATGGCTACTATCAGGTAGTAGCGGGAAGGTGGCGATAGGTATATAATTAATGATACTTAATATTAATATACTATTCTTTTGTAAACATGTCAATTTTGGTGAATCTAATTACCCAATTTGCTGAAAAACAGAATTTCGTTATCGTTCAGTATCGATAAGCGGACCTACAGCCTAAATTTCACGTCTCTAGCTCTTATAATTACTAAAATCTTGCGTTCATACATACGGACGAACAGACGGTCAGACGGACGCACAAACAGACGGACATGGCTAGATTAACTGGGCTATTGATGCAGATCAAGAATATATATACTTTGTGTGGTCGGAAAACCTTCCTTCTACCTGTTACATACATTTACGTTTTGCACAAATACAATATACAATTTTCTCCATTTTCACTGGGTTCAGGGTGTAGAAAAAATAAGCTCCCTTGGCAGGGTTCCAGTTCGCAACTAACCGTACCACTTGCCACCGCCTCCTCTCAACAACCACACTATTAATCAATTATTGGATAGAAAAAACCAATTAACATAATAACTCAGTAAACAATACAATCGCAATTATAATGCTGTTGATAAATACGAAGCAGCGCGTATAAATGTGTGTGTACGTGCATACAGATATTTTTCGAATTTGCGCTGGTGCCGCAAACACGTGTTTCTTAACCGATCTTCCTGAAAATTTCTACAGTATATCTTAATATGCCATAGCATATTTGTGTATTCTCAAAAAGTGAATTGCATTAAAATTGTAGCTTTAATTGTTGAGCAATGGAAGTTGGGTTATTTACTTGATTTATAGCTATAAGGTAGTAGCTGGAAGGTGGCGATAGGTATATAATGAATGATATTTAACATAAATATACTATTCTATTGTAAACATGCCAATTTTGGTGGATCTAAAATCCCAAATTGCTGAAAAACAGGATTTCGATATCGATTTGTATCGATTGCTTGGAAACTGAGGAAATTATCGATTATCGGAAAGAAACTCGATCTGCGCATATACTAAGCGGACCTACTGCTAAAATTTCACGTCTCTACCTCTTATAATTACTAAGATCTTGCGTTTATCCAGGGACGGACAGACGGACGGACGGACGGACGCACAAACAGACGGACATGGCTAGATTAACTTGGATATTGATGCTGATCAAGAATATATATACTTTGTGGGGTCGGAAAAGAATTCTTCTACCTGTTACATACATTTACATTTTGCGTAAATACAATATACCCCTTTATCCATTTTCAATGGGTTCAGGGTATAAAAAAAATAAGTTCCCTTGGCTGGGTTCGGGTTCGCAACTAACCGTACCACTTGCCACCGCCTCCACTCAACAACCACACTATTAATCAATTATTAGTGCGAAAACATATTAACATAATAACTCAGAGGAATACAATCGCAATTATAATGCTGTTGATAAATACGAAGCAGGCGCGCATAAATGTGTGTGTACGTGCATACACATATTCTTCGAATTTGCGCTGGTGCCGCAAACACGTGTTTCTTAACCGATCTTCTTGAAAATTTCTACAGTATATCTTAATATGCCATAGCATATTTGTGTATTCTCAAAAAGTAAATTGCATTAAAATTGTAGCTTTAATTGTTGAGCAATGGAAGTTGGGTTATTTAGTTGATTTATAGCTATCAGGTAGTAGCGGGAAGGGAAGGAAGGTATATAATGAATATTTAACGTAAATATACTCTTCTATTGTAAACATGCCAATTTTGGTGGATTTAAAATCCCAAATTGCTGCAAAACAGGATTTCGATATCGATTTGTATCGATTGCTTGGAAACTGAGGAAATGATCGATTATCGGATAGAAACTCGAAGTTCGCATATAATAAGCGGACCTACTGCTAAAATTTCACGACTCTAGCTCTTATAATTACTAAGATCTTGCGTTTATACATACGGACGGACAGACGGACGGGCGGACGGACGCACAAAAAGACGGACATGGCTAGATTAACTTGGATATTGATGCTGATCAAGAATATATATACTTTGTGGGGTCGGAAAAGAATTCTTCTACCTGTTACATACATTTACATTTTGCGTAAATACAATATACCCTTTTATCCATTTTCAATGGGTTCAGGGTATAAAAAAAATAAGTACCCTTGGCTGGGTTCGGGATCGCAACTAACCGTACCACTTGCCACCGCATCCACTCAACAACCACACTATAAATCAATTATTAGTAAGAAAAACCAATTAACATAATAACTAAGGTCACTACAATCGCAATTATAATGCTGTTGATAGATACCCTTTCATCCATTTTCAATGGGTTCAGGGTATAAAAAAAATAAGTTCCCTTGGCTGGGTTCGAGTTCGCAACTAACCGTACCAGTTGCCACCGCCTCCACTCAACAACCACACTATTAATCAATTATTAGTGCGAAAACCAATTAACATAATAACTCAGAACAGTACAATCGCAATTATAATGCTGTTGATAAATACGAAGCAAGCGCGCATAAATGAGTGTGTACGTGCATACACATATTCTTCGAATTTGCGCTGGTGCCGCAAACACGTGTTTCTTAACCGATCTTCTTGAAAATTTCTACAGTATATCTTAATATGCCATAGCATATTTGTGTATTCTCAAAAAGTAAATTGCATTAAAATTGTAGCTTTAATTGTTGAGCAAAGTTGGGTTATTTGATTTATAGCTATCAGGTAGTAGCGGGAAGGTGGCGATAGGTAAATAATGAATGATATTTAACATAAATATACTATTCTATTGTAAACATGCCAATTTTGGTGGATCTAAAATCCCAAATTGATGAAAATCAGGATTTCGATATCGATTTGTATCGATTGCTTGGAAACTGAGGAAATGATCGATTATCGGATAGAAACTCGATCTGCGCATATACTAAGATCTTGCGTTTATACATACGGACGGACAGACGGACGGACGGACGGAGGCACAAAAAGACGGACATGGCTAGATTAACTTGGCTATTGATGCTGATCAAGAATATATATACTTTGTGTGGTCGGAAAAGCATTCTTCTACCTGTTACGTACATTTACATTTTGCACAAATACAATATACCCTTTCATCCATTTTCAATGGGTTCAGGGTATAAAATAAATAAGTTTCCTTGGCTGGGTTCGAGTTCGCAACTAACCGTACCACATGCCACCGCCTCCACTCAACAACCACACGAATAATCAATTATTAGTGCGAAAACCAATTAACATAATAACTCAGAACAATACAATCGCAATTATAATGCTGTTGATAAATATGAAGCAGGCGCGTATAAATGTGTGTGTACGCGCATACACATATTCTTCGAATTTGCGCTGGT